AGCAGGTTCAAAATCCACTACAAGTAAATGCTATGGAGGGTTTCAACATGTTAGTGAACAAAAGAAGACAAAGAGGTCAACAAAGTTCGGATCAATATGACCAAGATAGTGGTGGGTTCCAAGATGATGGGTATGATGAGCAGAATGAATAAGTGCAATACGTGAACAACTATCAGGGCCAAAGGGGCAATTCTTCTAACCAACAACAACAATGGAGATCCCAAGGCAATTGGGGAATCAACAACAACAAGGGAATAGTAATTGGGGGAACAACAACCAAAATTCAAATTGGGGCAACCAGAATAATAACCAGAACAATCAGGGTAATTGGAGTGGCAACAACAACAACTGGGGTGGAAACAACAATCAAGGTGGTTGGAACAATAGCAATCAAGAAAATCGGGGGCAAGGCTTTCAAAGGCCCCCCGATGTATCAACAACCGAACAATCCACCCCTATTTCCATCCCAAGGTACTAGTTCATCCAATAATGAACTGGGGAGAATCGAAATGATGTTTGAATAGATGATGAAAAAGAATGCTGACTCTGATGCCCAGTTGGCATCCCACAATACTTCAATCAGAAACTTGGAGGTTCAATTAGGCCAAATCTCACAATCCTTGAATACTCGCCCTAAGGGGGCTCTACCTAGTGATACGGTAGTCAACCCGAAGGGTGGGAACAATATCGAGCATGCAATGGGGTAACTACAAGAACTGGACGAGGCGGTGATGTGAATGCCTCTAAACAATAAGAAATTTTGAGTGATGAAGTTGAGTTGCAAGAGGATGATATCCCTTTGGTGGTTGAGAATGTGACTGATGAGAACTTGAATGAGGAAGTGAGGATTGATATCCAAGATAACGAGGTGGAAACTCAGAATGAGAACCATCTAGGGAACTCGTAATAGACATGCCGGAAATGGTTGTGCCTAAAACCAAGGCTCCTCTGCCAAGGCCACCTCCACCTTATCCTCAAAGGCTCACGAAGTAGAAAAATGAGAACCAGTTTAAGAAATTTATTGACATGATGAAGAGCTTATCAATTAATGTGCCTCTGGTGGAGGCTCTAGAACAAATGCCAGGTTACGCCAAGTTCATGAAATACTTGGTGACAAAGAAAAGATCCATGGATTGTGATACCATCAAGATGACCCACCAAGTTAGTGCAATAGTGCACTCGATGGCTTCGAAGCTAGAAGATCCCGGCGCTTTCACCATTCCTTGCACCACTGGGAGTGAAAACTTTGCAAAAGCTCTATATGATTTGGGGGCAAGTATCAACTTGATGCCTTACATTGTTTTCAAGACTTTGGGTATTGGGCAACCGAGGCCGACTTCAATGAGATTGCAAATGGAGGATAGAACAATGAAGAGGCTATTGGGTATAATTGATGATGTTCTTATCCGGGTGGACAAATTTATCTTGCCGGCTGATTTTGTGATTCTCGACTGCGAGGTTGATTATGAGGTGCCTATAATATTGGGAAGACCTTTCCTTGCAACTGGTAAGGCTTTAGTTGATGTGAAAGTAGGGGAACTCACCTTCCGGGTGGGTGATGAAAAAGTGGTCTTTCATGTGTGCAAATCAATGAAGCAACCAAATAGCAAGGAAGTATGCTCCTTTGTGGATCTTGTCACGGAGGTGATCGTTGATGATACTAGTTGTCACACCTCTTTTTTACCATCCGGGAGGGTAATATAAGGAAGTTTTTCCTATTTAAGTAATATTATTCGAAATGAGATTACTTTATTTAAATTCTTCAGAGTCACCACTTGGAATAGTTTATTTGGTGTCCCAAGTCACCGATTTATTTTAAAATCCCAAATCGAGGAAAATCGACTTTATTTAAAAGTCTGCGAAACCAAAATTCTAAGTAAGGAATTCTGTTGACCCGGGAGAAGGTGTTAAGCATTCCCGGATTCCGTGGTTCTAGCACGATCGCTTAAACTATTAATAATTGGCCTATTATCTGATTTACTACACGTTTTAAACCTATTATGTATTTTTAACTTTATTTCCACTTTTAATTATTTTAACCGTTTTTTAGGATTTACGGACTTATTTCTTGAACAAGTTACGATTGTCGTACACTTGCCGCTTTGGAACACACCGCAAACCACGCTACATGAAATGCACCCCCGATTCGCGACATGTTTATTTAAATATTAATATTCAGAGTTGCTATGATCGGGTCACATGAAATGCACACCCGAATTTTAGAATTAGGTATCACGACCATTCCACGGGAACAATACCCATAGCCGCGATGATTTATTAATCGCGCCTAAAGCAAAGCTACGAATGTTCATGGCTTGATTTTTCCAAGGTTTGATACTGCATGAGATACTTATTCGAATTAGATGTGACAACTTTATTTATTAAATGCCAAACATGCCCAGATTTTAAAATTTGGGGCCTGACAAAGGTTGAGTCCAAATGAACTTTACCCAAGACATATATTGTCTATTATTCAAACAGCTAAATTAATTCTAAAAGAACTTGGGCCTGACTTAATTCATATGAATCTGGCCCAAATAAATTATTAAGCAATTAATCAATTTATACATAATGCATCAAGAAGATTTGCGCCTACTAATGAGTACAAGTAACTCTGACCCAAAATCCATTTGTGGACAAATAAATAAACTTAATAATGAGTCCAAGTGAACTCTAGTCCAACACATATTTAAAGAAAATTTGAAATTAATATTCGTAATGACAATATGCAGGATTTTAACTATATTTTTTGTTTATTTTTTGAATCAAAAAAGTAAAAAGGGTTTTGAATAAATCAAAATCTGTTAAATTTTAGACAATCTTCCTACTAATTTGCCTAAGTCTTTATTTTCGAAAATGCTGATTTTGAAGCTTATTTGTATTTCAAAAATCATGAAGTGCTTGATCAACTCATTTTGTTTTAGTAAAAATCAAAATAGAAATTCATAAACCAAATTGGTTTTGGGCCTGAAAATGTATTATGGTTATCACTTAGTTACTAAAACTTTGATTTTTTTATGACTTTAAGCTAATAATAATCCAGCATTATTTAATTATTAAAACCAGTGGTAAATTGCTAATCTATTAAGCTTGTTTAACACACAAGAAAATGCAGTAGAAATTATTATATGTTTTGCTAACTGAATAACCAAACTGCCTATTGCTATTCTAACAAAATTTCTTGAAAATGACTTATGTGATACTACTACGGGGTGATTTATTTATGTTTGCTACACCTCCTGACCCGCTCGGGATTGCTTGGGACGTAGCTCTTATAGCAGATTGGCTCAATATGCGACCTGTTTTCAAACCATTCTCGACCATCTCCCCAATCTTGATAGCCTCAGCAAACGGCTTTTCCATGGCAGACATCATGTTCTGGAAGTAGTCAGCCTCTTGGGCTTGTAGAAAGACACTGACCATCTCGGTCTCATCCATAGGGGGTTTCACCCTGGCAGCTTGTTCGCGCCACTTAATAGCATATTCTCGAAAACTCTCCGACGACTTCTTTTTTAGATTAGACAGAGAATTTCTGTCTGGAGCTATGTCTATGTTGTACTGGAATTGCCTGACAAAATCTCGAGCCAAATCATCCCATATGTGCCAGCGAGATATGTCTTGATCCATATACCACTCGGATGCAATGCCGACTAGACTCTCTCCGAAATAAGCCATTAGGAGTTCTTCTCTTCTGCCTGCCCCTCTTAATTGATTGCAATACCTCTTGAGGTGGGCTATGAGGTCCCCGTGTCCTTCATACTTTTCGAACTTGGGAGTCTTAAAACCAATGGGCAGATGAACATGCGGGAACATACATAAATCAGCGTAGGATACGCTCTTCTGGCCACTTAAACCTTGTATATTTTTGAGGCTTTGTTCCATGCTTCTCATTTTCCGAGTGATTTCCTCTTGCTCGAGATTCTTTGTAGCTCTCTCTTGTCCTGCGGTAAACTCATACCGAGGTTGTTGAGGGTAAGAATTGGTGGTGAAATGAGCCGTGTCTGATGGAAAAGGTGGTACTTGGAAAGTAAAGGATGATGGATCAAAGCTTGGCCTGGGCAAGGTTGGCTGTGCCGTATCCGAGGTTGGTGGTGCAGTGAATATGTTAGAAGCCACTCCCGAAATCAATGCCTGGGGGCGAACCTCAGAAGGCGTTCCGGCGAAGTGGGCTGACATAGTGGGGTATCCAAGTAGGGTGTTCGGTTAACTTATTAGGATGTTGGAAGTTCCACTTGCTCTGGGAAGTAGCTCAAGGAAACCAGGTATTACACTAGGCGGCTCTCTACCGTTGGACCAAGCGTCCCACATTTCCAATATGCGGAGGTGCAGTGCCCTATTATCTTCAGCAGCCGCTGACTCTGAGGTTTGGATAACCGATATCGGGCTATCATCTAGGATGGGAATTGTTGGTAGATGACTATCTGACGACATTTCGACACTTGGATCTTGTAAAGTAAGGGTGCGAAGCCAGGTTACCACAAAACCAACCACCTTAAAAACAGAACCTAATCTCAAAAGCAGACACAACAAACCAGTTAGTTCGAGGCAATTAACACATAGGGAATCACACATTTGGGGTGTGTGATGCACCTATACGGTTAAATGTGTTTCTACATGTTTTGCAACGATTGCATGTCTCATCCCGACTTTTGTTTATCTCCCCAATCTTTCTCTTGCTCTCTTTTGCACTCTCTCATTGTTTTCTCTCTTGTTTTTGTTCTCTTTTCCTTGTTTTCTCTCTTTTTCTTGTTTTCTCTCTTTTCTTTTTTTTTCTTTTGGTTTTCTCTTTCCGTCATTTTCTCTTTTATTTGAGTTATTTTAAAACCATGACTGTATCCGATGGGATTGTCTACGTATCACGACGCCACGTGAATCAGATCATCACGTAGTTCGAGGAATAAATGCGGAAATAAAAGAAAGAAACAAATTGTTTTTTTCTAAATTTTCATTAAAAATAAAAACTTCTAATTTTTCTATTACAATGACTCCATCATGCCTTTCTAGGAATTGAAAAACTAAAACAGACTCGAAACAGACTCTATAACTGGAAACTGAAATAGAGACTCAAAACGAAAATCAAGAGTACAAAAGTGCTTCCAAAACTACTCCAGGGGCCCGTGGGACATCAGCCGGTCTCGCCACGGGCCTATGTGCAAGATCCCCTTGGAGACGATCTAGGTCATTCATTATTTGGCGAACAAAGGTCATCACTGTGGCGAAGAAGGTGGTTCTAGTCATGTCCTCACATTCATGGCATTTCCTGACAATGTAGTCGGCAATTGCTCTAACCCTTTCCCTAATGATGCCTTTCTCTTGGAGCAAACGTCCAATTTGTAGAGACCTGGCTTCTAGCACTTGGGTGTCATGATGGCTTTGATCCTGCAACTGTTGCATATCTTCTTCTAGCTGAGACATTAGTGCATAACAATGTTCCGTTTCTGTTTTAAAGTTCTTTGTTTGTTTGGCCATCTCATTCTCGAGGGTAGTTAGATTTTTCTTCAGGTTTGCGACTTCTCCATCATATTTCCTTTTCAATTGCCGGGCAAACTCTGCCCGTCCCTCTACGTTCTTTGCCAAATGTGCCCGGGCTCTTGCCAGACTACCCTCGGATTTTTTCAAATCATCCTCGTACTTAGATATTTTCCTCCTAAGACCATTTATGAGTCTTTCATCTATTTGGCTCATTTCCTGATTCTCAGCAGCTATCTTCATTTTTTGGATCTGGGCTCCAAGGGCTTTGTTTTCTTGGGCCAACTTCTTCTTGTCCCCTTCATCAGCAGCAGCCTGTACACTATTGTCAAATTTAAGATCTCTGATTTGCCCCACCAATTTGCTTATCGTGGCCCTGTAGCTTGTCTCTTTTGCCAACCAATCCCATTGCTTATGTGCCCCATCAGTGAATTGTTGGACATGGTGCCTTTTGGCAGGCCGTTCGGGCTCTTGATGGACTTGAAACCTTTTACCATATCAAGTCGTGTAACTAGGCTCTAGCTCGCCTTTGGACAAACCTCGTACCCAAGTCTTTGGCTCTAGGAACCTACACTGATGCCAAATTTGGCGAACCTTTTCTTCCGGGAATACAACTTTTGGACCTAGTTCAATGACTTGTCGACTCAAATATTCATCATGTGGGATAGTTTGGTACCTGCCTAGCTGGCGCAGAACCCGGTATGGAGCATATGGCTGAATGCTCCGGAGACCCATTAATAGAAGAAAGCACACTTCAGCCGACATGTAAATGACTTCAGTGACCAGGAGCCAACCAAATGTCCACTAAATTTCGCTTGCAGTCAAGGAACTCAAATGTGCGAACCATGCCTCCGTACCTTCCGGAAACTCATGACCCTCCACCCGGTTTTCATGTTCTTCAATGCAGTTAAGATCGATCATACCATAGTTCATGTACCCCGGACGATGGCAAAGGTGTTCTTCCATCCAAAGTTGTAAAAGCATGTTGCAACCCTCAAAAAAATTTCCCCCTTCTCGGCAAAACAGTGAGAGCTCGATAAGTAGGATCATTGGTATAATGGTGCCATTAGCCTTTTTAGTCATGAAGTTGGCCATTCCCACGAGCCCCAACTTTATATTTCCATCCTTTCTTGGGCAGATTAAGATGCCCAGGAATGCCACTATAAAAGCCAGTCCCCGACGTGCTTCACATTTACCTTTGTTCCCTGAATGAGTTAGACCAGTATCCGGAGCCTCAAAACCATAGGGATCCCCATAACGGCGGTACAAAAAGTAGAATGTGCAAAATCCCTCGGCCAAATTTCCATCTTTGACTTCCCGACTGATACTCAGAAGGTCCAGAAACTTATGAGGAGTCACCGCTCTTGGTGCCACTGGGTACCGACTTCTGAGATTCCCACTAAGATCGACATAGCCCGCTATTTCCTCAAGCGTAGGGGTTAGCTCAAAATCAAAAAAATGGAACACATTATGCGCCAAAAGACCAACGAGACCGCCCAAAGCTTTTATCACAGTATCTCTGCTAACTTTCCCTAAGTCATTCCACCACATATGGAGTTCTAACGGGATTTCTCGAGGATTGTGAAGGGTTCATTTTCAATAGTGCTCATCCTGCACATTTATTCAAAGTGATCGATTAAAAGACCATAATTTATTTTAACTCAAGAGAAAATTATCAATTTTTCAAAATTGCAATTCAAAACAAAAACACCTTTGCAGATATGGCCCTTCAGCACCTCGGGAAAGAATATTTTAGGGCTGTGTTTGCTAATCGGCCAAAAATTTAAAAAAGGACCATATGTGGCTATTCTTGCAAAAATAGCCTTCCGGTGCCCTTTTGGGGATATTTTGGCTATTTAGACAAGAACGACATCACTTAATTTTATTTATGACAGAACAACAATATTTCATATTTTTGGGTTATTTTTGCCAAAATGGAGTTGGACCCGGTGAGGGTTGCCTACGTATCCCACATCCGGTGAGAATCAAACTAGCGTAGTTCGGGAAATTTTGACGCAACAGAGAAACATGAAATACTTTTTGAAACAATTTTCCTTTTTTCTCTTTATCTTTTCTTTCTTTTTTTTTCTTCAAAAGTTTGGCAGAGTTTCGGTACTTTTTGGACACTAGATTTCCAAAGATGGGTAATTATCTCTCTCATACCTCAATTTGATTTTTCCAATTTTTCTCCCTTAATCTAGAAGCCGGTCAACATGCAATCCGAAGGAAATAAATGTACCAGTAGCAAGTAAAATGCATCAGGATGGTCTTTTGATTTCTAGTACACCTGTCCTAGACGGACCCAACCCCTGTGTTGAGTCCCCAAAGTCAAATGCACGTGATGCAAACAAGCGTTCCTACTAGGGATCCGACATAAGTCTATGTTATACTAGGTTTAAAAACCTGGGTGTATTGTTCTAGACCTGGCTTACCCGAGCGGACAGCTCGAGCCGACTGGGGGCAGCGTACCGGGAATACAGAAGCTTCACCGGCTTTGTAACTTGTCCGAACCTCGTTCTATAATTGGGATATGACTCTAAAAGAAAAGAAGTTACACGAAGTGCACACTTCCTAGATGATTTAGAAGACTCGAAGAGAAGAGGGTTTCGTAACATTTTATATACTGTTCAACAACATCAAAGCGGTACACAGCGGCATTTAGCACATTAGGTTCAAACATGTAAAAATCAGATAATAAATAAGCCAAGTATAACAGTTATTCTAAGCTCAAATTCTTGAACCCTGAACCAAAAGTTTTGGGTTATGATCCTCAGCAGAGTCGCCAGAGCTGTCACACCTCCTTTTTACCACCCGAGAGGGTAATATAAGGGAGTTTTTCCAATTTAAGTGACATTATTCAAAATAGGATTATTTTATTTAAATTCTTCAGAGTCGCCACTTGGAATAGTTTATTTGGTGTCCCAAGTCACCGATTTATTTTAAAATCCCAAATCGAGGAAAATCAACTTTATTTAAAAGTCTGCGAAACCAAAAATTCTAAGTAAGGAATTCTGTTAACCCGGGAGAAGGTGTTAGGCATTCCCGGGTTCCGTAGTTCTAGCACGGTCGCTTAAACTATTAATAATTGGCCTATTATCTGATTTACTACAGTTGTGTATTTTTAACTTTATTACCGCTTTTAATTATTTTAACTGCTTTTTAGGATTTACGGAATTATTTCTTGAACAAGTTACGATTGTCGTACACTTGACGCTTTGGAACACACCGCAAACCACGCTAAATGAAATGCACCAGCGATTCGCGACATGTTTATTTTAATATTAATATTCGGAGTTGTTATGATCGTGTCACATGAAATGCACACCCTAATTTTGGAATTAGGTATCATGACCATTCCACGGGAACCGTACCCATAGCCGTGATGATTTATTAATCGCGACTAAAGCAAAGCTACGAATGTTCATGGTTTGATTTTTCCAAGGTTCGATACTGCATGAGATACTTATTTGAATTAGATGTGGCAACTTTATTTATTAAATGCCAAACAGGCCCAGATTTTGAAGTTTGGGTCCTGACAAAGGTTGAGTCCAAATGAACTCTAACCCAAGACATATATTGTCTATTATTCAAATAGCTAAATTAATTCTAAAAGAACTTGGGCCTGACTTAATTTAGATGAATCTGGCCCAAATAAATTATTAAGCAATTAATCAATTTAAACATAATGCATTCAAGAAGATTTGTGCCTACTAATGAGTACAAGTAACTCTGGCCCAAAATTCATTTGTGGACAAATAAATAAACTTAATAATGAGTCCAAGTGAACTCTAGTCCAGCACATATTTAAAGAAAATTTGAAATTAATATTCGTAATGACAATATGCAGGATTTTAACTATATTTTTTGTTTATCTTTTGAAACAAAAAAGTAAAAAGGGGTTTGAATAAATCAAAATCTGTTAAATTTTAGACAATATTTCTACTAATTTGCCTAAGTCTTTATTTTCGAAAATGCTGATTTTGAAGCTTATTTGTATTTCAAAAATCTTGAAGTGCTTGATCAACTCATTTTGTTTTAGTAAAAATCAAAACACAAATTCATAAACCAAATTGGTTTCGGGCCTGAAAATGTATTATACTTAGTTACTTTGTAAAAATCTATTTTTTTATGACTTTAAGCTAATAATAATCCAGCATTATTTAATTATTAAAACCAGTGGTAAATTGCTAATCTATTAAGCTGGTTGAATATACAAGGAAATGCAGTAAAAGTTATTACATTTTTTGCTAACTGAATAACCAAACTGCCTATTGCTATTCTAACAGAATTTCCGGATAATGACTTATGTGATACTACTACATATGAACATACAAATTTTATAAATGTATGAATATTTAAGCAGATTCTGTAATTTTCAGAATACTTTAAAACAAATACATTTGCCTAAAACATTGTAAATGAATTTGCAACATAACAAACAAACAAACTTCATATTAGCATGGTTCATGCAGTATCCAAACTAATTGCAGATTTATCAACAATTTCCAATGATGATTCAACAAAAGAAAGAAACTTTACATTTTTTAAGAAAGTTACCTTGACAGCGGCAAGAAAACAACAGAAAGAAAATAGATCTCTGAAAAGTTGAGTGAGAAACAGCAACAACAATAACCAAACAAGAAATCCAACACAGCTTCAGATTTAAGCCCAGAAATCCCAGAAAAAAACTGTATGAAACCAGTAGGAGTTCTTTACTAAGAGTGAAAGAAATAAACTCCAAAAGCAGTGCCAAATCAATAGGATTCCAGAAAATTTTCTCTATATCAGTGTATTTTTTTAGGTCTAAAATGTATATCCAGGTCTCTGTATAATGAAAAGAAGGAGTGTATTTATAGAATGAGGAGGTGAAAAGGGATTAGAATTAAGGTCCAAAGAATCTGTCAGGATTCCCTATAAATTAGAGAAAATGACATCTTCTTTACAAAAATGGATAGCTGTCCAATTTCTAGTACCTTCCTTATCTTAGAAAATGGACAAGTGTCCTATTTTCGAATATTTTTTTGGATCTTATCCTTTTTCCTACTCAGCATTGGGACAGTTGTCCCTATTCTAGAAAGTTCTAGCACTTTCTGAACGATTTTTAGAATTTAGGCTTCCGAAATTGACCCTTAAGGGTCTTGGAATTACCTCAAAACCAGATTGGTTCCGGGCCTAAGTCAAATGACTCTTGGCCTAAAGAGCTTGGGCTCTTAAACTTTAACAAGGTCACGGGCCTGTCCATTTAGCCAGGCCTAATTTAACACGAAAATAAATAAACTAATAATAACAAAGCTATGGGCCTGTCTATTTAGCCCGGCCCATTATTTTTTTTAACAAAAATAAGCAAGAAATAATAAACAAACAATGAAACAGAAAGAAAGAAATGTAACACTATTTTTAATATTTTTTTTTACTCTTTTTTCTTGATTAATCCGTTTAATTAATTAATTAACAAATAAAATAACAACTACATAATAATATAAAACTAACATAATATGATTATACTAACTTTACATATTTTTTAATTAAATCCGGTTTTAATTAGTTAGTTAATTATAACTTAGTGTAAAAAAAAGCTAAATAATAGAAAAAATATATAAAATTGCGTAAACAGAATATAAATAAAAATAAAATACGGACAGAATAAAAAAATGCATAATAACAGAACATAATGCGGAAATTAATGGAAATAAAAAAAAAGTGCGTAAATGACGGAAATAAATAACAAATGCGTATATAAAATTACACAATTAAAAGGGTTTAACCGTGAAAAAACCCTCAATCCAAGACTCCCGTCTTGGATCTAAGATCCTTGATGGAAGATCTTGACCGGGGGATTTTTTAACGGCTAGGAAAATGGGGAAGGGGTAGATCTAGGGTTTTGGCCTTTTTAGATCTAAGATCTACGGATTTTGGTTGGGTTTTTGGGGATTTGGTTGCTAGAATGAAGTTTAGGAGGATGAGAGGAGTGTGTGGTGTGAATTTGAGGAGTTTTGGAGGTTGGCCGCCGCCGGTGGAGATTTCCGGCGAGCGCCGCCGCCGTAGGGAGGGTTTTCGGTCACTTTTTAATTTTTGGATGGTTGGTTTTTTATGGGTTTAGGTGGTGGGGTGAGGTAGAGGAGGAGAAGAGGAGAAGAATGAAGTTATTTTGGGGGGTTTTTTGGAGGTTGGCCGCCGCCGGTGGAGATTTTCGGCGGGCGACGCCGTTGGTGGAGGAGGGTGGCGGCGGAAATGGGAGGAGAGAGAAGAGAGAGAGTTGGGGAGCTCTAGGTTTGGGGAGTTGAGAGAGAAGTGGAAGAGTGGGAGTTTGGAAATGAGGTGGGGGGGGGGGGTGGAGATTTTAGGACACTTTTATATTAAAAGGGGGGTGAGTTTCGGACCGTTGGATCTTGTTGGAGACCAATGGCCAAGATTAAAAGGGGGGAAGATGGGTTGGGATCAGATTTTTAAGGTTTTTGGGCTTGGGGTGTTTTTGTAACGACCCAACCGGTCGTTTTGAGCTTTAGCGCGTTCTTTGGCGGTTTGAGGCCATGAGCAGCTTCACTTCAGGCATTATGACTTGTACGCATGTTCGGAATTGAATTTCGGGAAGTTCGGAGTTAATTTGGAAAGAAAATTCTCAATTCGGAAGCTTTACGGTGAAAGAATGGACTAAGATTGGATTTTTGAGTAAACGAACTCGGAATCGGGATTCGAAGGTTCCAACAGGTTCGTATGATAATTTCGGACTTGGGCGTATGTGCGGATCGGGTTTTAGAAGATCCGGGAATGTTTCGGCACCTATTGTGGAAGTTGGCATTTTTGAAAAAATTTCATAAGTTTGGGTTGTAATGCATTTAAGTGTTATCGATGTCCGTTTGGGATTCCGAGTCTGGGAATAACTCCGTATGGTAATTATGGTATTGGGAGCGCGATCGGAAGTGAATTCGGAGGTCCGTAGGTCATTTTGGAGTCATTTGGCTAAAGATAGAAATTTGAAGGTTTTTGAGGAGTTTGACCGGAAGTGGACTTTTTAATATTGGGGTCGGATTCCGATTCCGTTAGTTGGACTAGGTCCGTAATGTCGAATATGACTTGTGTGCAAAATTTGAGGTCAATCGGACGTGATTTGATAGGTTTCAACATCGAATATAGAAGTTTGAAATTCTAAAGTTCATTAAGCTTGGATTGGAGTGCGATTCATGGTTTTACGTTGTTTGATGTGATTTGAGGCCTCGACTAAGTCTGTGATATGTTTTGAGACTTGTTGGTATGTTCGGACGGGGTCCCGAGGGGCTCGGGTGAGTTTCGGGGTGGTTTCAGACCATTTCTAGACCATTTTTAGCTGCTGGTTTTTGGCTACAGCAGTGTGCTACGCGATCACGGGGAATTGGTCGTGATCGCGATGAGTAAAATGGGAGAAAATGGCCAGTGATTCGCGATCGCGGAAAGGCTTTCGCGATCGCGTAGAGGAAAGTTTCTGCTGCACTGACCCGACTTTGGAAGCTTGTATCTCGTAATCTATAAGGAATTTGGAGATGATCCAAAAATGAAAGTTGTAGCCCTTTGTATCTAGTTTCCGGAAAATCAAACCATTTGGAATATAGATTTGTGTACAAAAAGTTATGAATGGTACAATACAGCTTATCCGGGAAGAGTTTGGAAATCGCGAAGAAGAAATTTGTGTTGCACAGGGCTGATTTTGGAAGCTTATATCTTGTAATATATAAGGAACTGGTAGATGAGCAAAGGACGAAAGTTGTAGTCCTTGGAGTCTAGTTTTCAAAAAGTTAAACCATTAACAATTTGGAATTTTGTACAAAAAGTTATGGCCATTATACTAGAGACTGTCTGGAAGAGCTGGGCATTTGTTCTTCGCGATCGCGAATAGTAAATACCTGGGCAGAAGCTATATTTCGAGGTTTCGGTCATTTTTATCATATTTGGAGCTATGGAGCTCGGATTGAAGTGATTTTTGAGGCAATTTTCACCATATGGATTGGGGTAAGTATTATATATCCGAAAGTAATTATACTTCATGATTCTATGGTTATATTCATCATTTATTTCGGATTTAAATGGAAGAAATTAAATTTTTGTAAAACTTTTCAAGAATGAAAATTCAAGATTTGGAGGTCAAGTTGTTATCGGAATTTGATAAAATTGGTATGGTTGAACTTGTATCGGAATAGGTTGTCAAATTCTTCGAAAAATTTCGAAATCCGAGCGCGTGGGCCCGAGGATGATTTTGTCAACTTTTCGAACGGAGTTAGGAATTTATCTAAATTGAATTGTTGTGAGTATTAGAGCATATGTTTATGGATTTTCTCATTTATTGGCTAGTTTGGAGCGTTGTGCATCGATTTGAGTCGTCGGAAGGGCTTGGAAGCCGATTTTGAAACTTCAGAGCGAGGTGAGTCTCCTTTCTAACCTTGTAAGAGGGAATTGTCCCCATAGGTGAATTAATTGGATATGTGCTCCTATTTGTGGGGGCTACGTACGCACAAGGTGACGAGAGTCCGTGCGTAGCTACTATTATGTGTAAGTTCGGGTAGTCTAGGACCCAGAAACATGCTCTACTTGTAATATTTGGAATCTTGTTGTCGATTTAGAATGCTTAAATCATATTGAATTGGTAAATGAATTTTTAAAGGAATTAAATATTATTTTCTTGACCGGTAAAGAGAATTGCTATTTCTTTGGGTAATTGTTTTTCCCTGATGAAGTCTTGATTGACTGTTTGAATGCATGTTTCTATGTGTACCTGCGTCGCATGTATGATTCGCGAGCGGGGTGATTGTTTATTTATATTTGACCACGTCGCATGTATGATTCGCGAGCGGGGTAATAGATGCATCTATGGTTCGCGCCATTCGACCCTCCGGCAGTGCACAGTTTAAATATTATTGGATCGGGCCGTACGTCCTCGGCATAATTTGCGCATGCTTGTATGCTTGCCTTGATATTTATAAATGAGAATATTGCTTCCCCAGATTGAGAATAAATGTATATATGATGAAAACGAATTTGGAATTTCCCTATGAATAAGAGAATTGTTTACTTGCTTCATGCTATTGAGTTACAACCATTTTTTTATAAAGCCCCTCGATTTACTATATTATTGGTATATTATTATTGGACCACTAGTAAGTTTTGAAGTCGACCTCTCGTCTCTACTTCTTCGAGATTAGACGGGATACTTACTGAGTACACGTTAATTTTTTTGTACTCATGCTACACTTGCTGTGCATTTTTATTGCACAGGCACATATACCCTAGCGGCCCAATAGGCGTAGCAGCATGGATGATACAGAGACTTAGGTAAGCTACATCTCTCGAGGCGATCCGCAGTCGGCATAGTATCTTTCAGTGTATAGTATTTACCTTCTGTACAATTTGAATTTCGGACAGTTATTGCACTTTATTTGATTTCCTAGAAATAGCTTATGCACTTGTGACACCGGGTTCTGGGATGATTATGGGATTATTAAATATTAAGTTTGTTAAAGACATCATTTTATTTCTATGAATTTTATTATTTATTGTTTAATGTATAAAAAGAATGATTTCAATAAATACTAAAATGGGAATTTAATTAACTTCTTGGTGTTGGCTTGCCTGACAGTGGTGTCCGGCGCCATCACGACCCTTAGTGGATTTTTGGTCGTGACAGTTTTGGGTTAAATTAGGATTGGGCTAGTTTAGAAAGAAATGGCCCAATTCGGCCAAAAACCCTTTTTTTAAATTTTTTTTAAAGACTAATTAATTTAAATAAACCCTAAACTAAGTACAAAATTATCTTA